GGGAGGAGGGTAGAGAGAATAGTGCAACAATGAATGAGTGGAAGCCCAAAATCTCTGTAAATGTTTATGAAAATTAATAGAATATAATTATAGAAGAAAAAAAATAAAGTTGCCATGTAACCTGGAAAAAAAAAAGAAAGTCCTGGATACCTCCTGTATAACTTTCGTCCTTTCTCCAGGTTCATAGGATTTCCAGAGGCAAGCTATTACAGAAGTGGATGCCACTCCTGCTTCCAATTTACGTAGAGACCTAAACTGAAGCCAAAATAGTGGGTAAAACAGATTCCAATCTATATGAAATCATAACGGATTCTGAGTCTTATTCAAACTAGACCTATCTGGATTTTAAGTTGATGCTGTCCATTTAACATAAACAAAATCTGGAGAACTGGGTTCAATCAACAGGAAACCAATGGCAATAGGTGAGGACGGGTGAGGGGACTGTACGCAGGGGCTGAGGAAAATGGGCTTCTGTTACCAGAGACAGACCTGGGAGCTAGGCTTTGCCAAGACTCTGGAACCACAGAGCGTGGGAACTTTAAATGTGGTGGTGAACATCTGCAGTTCTTTATGAGGTTTTTTAATTTCCAGCTGGATACTGATTGATGTATGTTCACTATAAAATACTAAAAATAAATCTAAAGCTTTACTTGCCAGTTTTTCACCTATTACATGGTTGTGTGGGTAAGGAACTCTGTGTGGACTTTGTCTCTTGACAAACATTTCTAGAAGGTGTTACCATGTGAGCTCAAGTCAGTTTGGGTTCTGAACAAACCTACAGGACAGAGAACTGCTCCATGGGATTTCCTAGGCTCTGATCTTTACGGGAGGTGCTCTGAGAGAAAGAGTTCTGCTGCCAACCGAAAGGTATGTGGTCTGGATCCACCAGACGCTCCATGGGATAAAGATGCGCAGTCTCCTCCCATGGGATTTACAGCCTCTGAAAACCTGCAGGAACTCTGAAGGTCAGCTGTGAGTTGGTTCCTACTCAATGATGTAAAACAACAATTTCTAAGGGAACAGAATGTCAGGTCTTCTCTTCCATAGAACCACTGGTGGATTTGAACAGTTGTCAAAGGACAAGCAAAAGTGCTTGGCAGTTAAATACTTAACCATTTTTCCACCAGGGATCTTATTCTGGAAAGATCTAAACCTGTTACCCTGAGTGGATTCCCATCCAGATTTTGCCTACAGGAGAGAGCTGAAGGAAGGTGAGCCCAGGTTCACCTCCAGGGTTCATCAGATTCATAGCGATTCTTAGCAGGAAAGCTGTGGCCTATGCTCCTTGCACACTGCTGCAAAGCATTTAGCTGCTACGATTCTGAGGGGAAGAATCATGACTGAAAAGAAGGAAGCTTAGCAAAGTTCCTTAGGATGATTTACCACCTGCACCTTGCCTACTCTCACTGTTAACGTTTGCCCTTCCCTGTTTTAAAAGCTCCCCTCAACACCCTGAGGAATGGCTTGTAATTCCTAAAGTAGTTGTAAGTTTTCTCTTGCTGCGAGGGTTTTGCATACACTCTTCTTTCTTGCTTAACCACACTTCCCAGAATTACTTTTTAGATGATTGTTAATATTGAACTGATTCAGAAACGGCTTCCCTAAAATCATGATCCTGTCTCAATCCAGACCACAGGAGAGCGAAGTGGCCTGGGCTTGCCTGGACCAGCACACTGCTCAGGTGAGGTGAACCAGCACTCAGCCCAGGTGAGGTGAACCAGCACACTTCCCAGGTGAGGTGAGCCTGCAGTGCCCTTTCTCCATGTAAACACCTTTATCAAAGGCAATACCTGTGGTGTATGTATATCCATGCATGAACCTCCTGTCACAGTACCGGGCGCAGAGCTAATGCTAATTACATACTGATAAATAATCAAATCATTGATTCACGACAGCCATTATTGCTCCTAACACTTCTATTAACACCTTCCTTATGATGAAGGCCAATTCCTCAGATACAATTCTTATTGCCAAAGTTGTCTTCCCAAGGTAAGAATGGCAGAGCTAAGAAATGGCTATTTCAAAACATTGTGCCAATGTCAGTTTCCTGGTTTTGAGACTGTACTAGATTGAGATGCTACCTACCACTGGGAGAAGCTGAGGGGGGATCGCAGCGCGTGGTGGGCTATTTCTCCAACTTCCTGTGGGTTTACAAATAATAGAGAGGCCCGGGAAGTGAATAACTACACCAAGGGGGAATTCATTCACAGTACGATCAACCTTGTAAGAGCAAGAGGGCATTGTTTGGCCCAACACCAAGCTCAGAAGGCGGGGAAAGGACAGAGCAGCAATGGGAACAGGGAACTCAGAGAGAAAGGAACTGAGCTCTCAGAGTGAAGGGTCAAAGGAAACACGAGCACACTATGGAATGAGAAACTCATTTGCTCTGCAAACTTTCACCTAGCCAACAACAATGAATAAGCTTATCCACATCAACAAAAACAAAACAGCTATTAAAATCCAAACTAGTCAGTTCTCAAAATAGAAATTTTGGAGTTGTTTAAAATGTCATGTCTTTAATTCTCTAAGTTCCACTCCCAAACAGGACTGTCTTTTAGTTTCTAAGTGCCAGTTTTATCACAGCTCAGTCACTTCATATACTGAAGGGAAGTTCCACCAAGGCATGAATGAAAGGCCTCTCCATTATGGGGATGTTTTCATACTAATAGTACAAATTCTCATCCAAATTCTAAAATACACATTGGACCAAAGGCTAAAAATTAGCCTTAGACTAAATCTACTAGCTAATTTTAAAATCTCTCACAACAAGATTCAGTCACTAAATCACAGAAGAATATGACTAAGACAGATAAATAAATTTTTATTTAATAAGAGTAGGAATTAATCAGGGCATCTACTCCTAAAATTTTTGAATACTTATTAAAAAAGAAATAAGTTTAAAGGGGAGAGAACAGTGATCATCATCAGACTGAGAGTAGGAGACTGAGCCCAATATCTGGTTTGCTCTTTTCTTATTTAATTAACAGTAGATTTTGGTCATCTTGTCTAAGAATGTTTGCAGTCACTATGGAGAATCTGTGTTTACGGAGGATATTTGGTCTGCAGCCTCTTATACTAAAGATTAACATTCAAAATCCTTCAGGAAAAACAGTGCTTCTTTGACTTCACTTAACCCTGAGCTCTGGCGGTGTGACCTTCGTAAAGGAGAGGCTTCACACTGGACAGTGCTGGGGGGAGGTCATCTCCAGGGAGGGCAGCGCTAACACACTCTGGACAGTGCAGGAGATTGACTTGTTACTGGGATGCAAGGCCATTGGAGGAAAGGGGAATCAATCTGAAAGCTAAAGAGGGAGAAGGCGGGAGAGACACTGAAGTTAGAATGGAGTCTGTCTTGCACCTAATTCCCTGGCAACACTTCATATGAACTTCCACAGTGTCTCATGGTCTGCTGGTGCGTGACAGGCGGGTCTCTTAGAGGAGATGGGACAGGAATGGGGGGAGCTGTTCAAGAGAGGAGCACTTGAGGAGCAGCAGGTGCGAAGGGCCAGCCTGCGTGCAGGACCCTGGACAGACACATGTCAGGGCCCTCCCAGAATGCCTTTGCACAAGTCGGCTGCTGCCTGTGGAAAACCGCACAGAGACCCACCTGGCTGCTTAGAGATGGTCTCCTCTCTGAGTGGAAGGGACCTGTTTTGATTCTTCCGACTTCCAAGGTTACCGTGCCTAGAGAACACTGAGAGAGAGAGAGAAGGTTCTAGAGAATGGTTGGGAAAAATGCCACAATCTACTTTAGAAACACATTTTAAAGAGCAAGGGTGTAAGTTTAAAAACTAAGCTGTGCCTAACTCAAGCCATACTCAAGCCGATACTCAAGTATCGTCCTCACCTTCAGCAAAGCAGCGACAGCTTCCTGGGTGGCATTGCGGACGTCTTCCCCATTGACAAGGAGTATCTGGTCCCCCTGCATCAGCCTGCCATCAGCGTCAGCAATTCCTCCTTTGACAATATCTGACACAAACACGCCACTGTCATTTCTGCAGACACAATGGTAAATTTCAACATTACCATTTTTTGCCCCTCGACTGTAATGTAATGTTTACCAAGTGACATTTTGTTGGGAATATGTTGAGTGCTTTCAAATCTCCCATCACTGAAACCAATCTGATACTCTAGAAGCAAATACACTTAGTATAAAATTTAAAAAAAACAAAACAAAACAAAAACAAAATAATCAGGGCCATCAGGCTGATTGCAACTGACAGAGACCCAGCGTTGTATTTCCAAGGCTGTGAATCCTCGATAGGAGGAGAGTCAGTCTTTCTGTCTGTCTGTCTCTCAGAGCAGCTGCCAGATGTGAGCCACTGACCGACCTCTCAGTAAACAGCCCAACACATTACACACTGCACCACCAGGCTTCCTGAACTAAGTATCGGAAATAATTCAGACCAAAAAAAAATCCTCTTCAACTTATTGCCGTTGCATTGTAACAGTCATCACCGACCCTCCACTGGGCTTCGGAGGCTGAAAATCTTAGAGAAGGAGATTGCTCATCTTTCTCCCTTAGAGACACTGGTGGATTTGAACTGCCAGACACACGCAGCCTTAGAATTAACAGAAAAACTGCCTACAGGGTCTGTCACCAGAGCTTCCCTACTCCAAAACACTAGCAGTTGATGAAGATTCTACTATTGCTAGCACTCTTTAAAGAAGGAAGAGAATGTCAATCACTACCAAAAGGCCTAATGGTTTTATCTCCTCAATTGTACCTCTTCCCAACGATACTTAATCCCAGGCCTTTCCCCGGCTTCTTCTGCAGCTCGATAGTGAGGGTGTCATACACGTCCTCTTCTTTGTACGGGGTCTCATCTCTGTAGAGTGTCAGGCGTACCCTCTGCGGGGTTTGCCTCAGCACGTTTATGGCTTCATCGTGGGTGGCCTTTCTCAGGTCGATTCCATTCACCTGTACCAACACAGGACACTGTGAGGAAGCAGGCGGGGTGTGTGTGTGTGTGTGGGGGGGGGTGACATGCTAACCCAAGAATGAGGTAAAGAAGAGAGGGAGGGAGAAAACGAAGAGGGAAGAGGGGAAACAGACCTTCCGGAGGGTAGACACCAAGTTCACATACAAAGCACTCGGTACCTCTAAGATCTGATCTCCAGCCCAGAGCCTTCCATCCTTACACGCTGCTCCTTCCTCATAGACTTCGTGGATGATGATGGCACCCTACAGGGCAAGACAAACACAGCCTGGCTTTATGCCTGCACCTTAGGAATTGGGGGCAGAGAAGTCAAAACACACTGTACTGGTGCTGACGTCAGGAAGAATTAGACACCGACCACGTCTACTTGTGAAGCACACACCAAAAGCTACAGAGAAGTGCAATGTGGGGGAAATTTTAAGACATCAAATACAATTTTTGCTAAAAAATTCAAATAAATATAAACTTTCCCCCGGAAATGGTAAGAATGTTTAAGTTGAAAAACAATGCTTGTGGGGGGAGGAGGAAGGTGGCCAGGGAGAAAAGTGCAACAATGAATGAATGGAAATCCAAAATCTCTGTAAATTTTCATTAAAATTAATAAAATAAAATTTAAAAAAAGAAAATAAGCAATAATGAAATAATAAACATTAATTTAACAAATGCTTAAAAATACATATATTAGACATTGAAAGATGTTTAAAATTCTCTGTCTCTCTCTCTAGATATATATATACACACACTCTGTATATACATACACATAGTGATATTTACATGTGCATATGTGTGTGTGTATCATCTTCCCAATCTAATATGAAATTATTAGTCTTTCAAAAAGCATTTCTTAGGACTTGGGAAATTTTGTCTATACATTATCCAATTTTTCAAGGACTCCATTCAATATGGATCTAACTCAACCATAACCAGGCAATAGGAAATGAAGACGCAGCAGGACCGGTGACCTCAGAGAACTGTTTTGAAGCCAAAAGGCCATAAGCCTAAGTAGAACATATCTTACAAATTCAGTACTTGTTTACAAAAGGTGAACATTCCAGCACCTAACAAAGTATCTAAATTTTCTCTTTTAAAAGACCTAGGCTATTAAAATGCCAATGCATTTTTTTTTCTAAGCATTTGATGTCACTTAATAAAATGGAAAACAATTCCCCAGGTAAGAGCTCGATAAAAGGGCCCTGCAGGCTGGGAGGCTGTCTCTGGATGTGGAGGGACTTGGAGTGGTACCCACCAGCAGTGTGTCCGAACCCCCAACAATGCTCAGGCCCAGCCCCGTCCGCCCTTTGGAAATCTCAATAGTTGTCTCACAGCCGGGGATAATGGGGCAGGTGGCAGGATCAGAAGCAAAGATTGCTGGTGTTGATGACCTGCTCACACCTAAAATAAGTTTAAACATAAAATATAGATTAGAAAGGATACGTATTAAACTCAGTACACTGGCTGTCTATGGACCCATGTGAAAATGAGTCCAAGATAAGGTACCAAAGAGACTTTAAATTTATCTGTCATCTTTTTTGTTGTTGTATATTTAAAACATCAGATACCTATAAAGTTGTTGTTGTGTACCAATGAGTTGGAACCAACCCATAGCTGACCCTCCGGTGGGTTTTCAGAGGCAGTAAATCACGTAGAAGTTGACTGCCCATCTCTTCCATGGAGGAGGTAATGGACTTAACTGTAAGTCATGATTATTCATTTAGGGTGTTGGGCATAAACTTTCTTGTTCAGTTATTTTCTGTATTTTTTTTTCTGTTTCATTGCTACCAGGAGGAGCTGGAGCACAGCGTGGTACTGACCCTCTGGCTTCCCTCTGACAGTGGGCACTTCACCGGTACCCAGGACAATGTCACAGACTGATGATGGCAGAGCCCAGCTGTGCACCAGCGACCCTGAACCGCCACCAGGGAAGACCTGGGAACCCAGCACCATCGGGGACCAGGCTGATGGTGCCTTACTGCGCTTTTATGTGGTAACTGTGATTTCAGCTTTCCATTTTCTTTTCTTCTTATGCTCGAAAACTCACCCGCACTGCCACTGAGACAGCTCAGACTTACAGTGACCCTTCACTAGATTTCCAAGACTGGAAACTGCATCTAAGGAAGAATGTTTATCTTTCTATGTCAGAGCTGCTGGTGAATTTGAGCCAGGTGATGTGTGCGGCCCTTGAGCCTGCACGTAAACTCTCTGTAGGCCACATAAGCTGTTCAGTTATGGTCACGTTTGTACGTAGTCAAATTCAACTCATTCCTGTTCATTTGGAATCAACTCGCAGCTGAGCCTCCAGGAGGTTTTTGTAGCTGTAAATCACAAACATAGAGCTTGCTCATCTTTCTCCAGAAGAGTCATTAGTGGATTTGAACTGCCGGAGACCTGTGGCCTTTGGGTTAGCAGTGCGTCTCCTGACGCATCATGCCACAGCTGCCTCTGTAGGGAAGAGCTGAGTTTATAAAATGCAAGAGAGGCCAAGTTGTGATGGCCTAGTGGCAAGAGGCAGCACTGCAATCATGAAGGCACGCTGTTCAAATCCACCAGCTGCTCCGCAGAAGAAGGTTGGGCAATCTCCTCCCGTGCAATTAACTGCCTCTGAAAACCTGCCGAATGGTCAACTGTGGGTCAGTTCCAACTTGATAGTTCACAACAACCATATACACTCAGAATTGAACAGTTAAGAGAAGATTATCCTATAGCCAGTGTAATATAACCGCTCAACTTGTTTTATGCCGGTCTTCATATCCTATGTTTTATGTATAAAACCAAACTAAATAGCATGTTTCAAGAAAGCTACAAGTCAATTGAGTAGGTTATGTTTCTAAAACAATGTTTTCTTTTGAGGAAATAAGAAACACTGTTTTCTTGTTCCTGAAATGGTAGGAACAGGTGTATGGTATTTTCTTTAGTTATATTTTCAGTTAGTGTTTCGTATTTTTATAGACAATGCTATTTGAGGAACAACATAAAGTTTAAAACTGAGTAAATTTCCATAACATCTTTCAACACTTCAGTAAATTACTCAGTTTTTCTTTTTAAAAAATTAATCAGATATGTATGACTTTAAGGTTTTTTTACTAATTATATTGCAAATATATTAAACTACTGTTTCCTTAAAAACATGTCAAAATAATTGAAAATGACAAAGGAGTGGATTTTTTTCCCCTTAGTTACAGCAAAGTCCAAGATTTAAGATTTTATTTTCTTATGCTGCCACGCTGAAATGTATTGTTTTATTAAATACCAGTGTAAATGTTTTTTAAGGGCAATTCAGAAGAAGCATGTGCTCCAATATTCAGATCGGGACTTTCTGAATATTAATGAGACACTGAAGTACCATGTCAGGGTTCACATACACCCCAATGGTGGGTCTATTTTCACAGCATCTGTTGTTACGCTCTAAACCCCAGAACTCACATGCTCTGTGGAGACCGTGCTTATTGTTCAGTGCTGTAGAGTGGTTTGAGATTCACAGCAACCTCACATGACAGAGCAGAACTACCCTGTAGAATATTCTATGCTGGGATCTCTACAAACACAGACTGCCAGCTTCATTTTCTAGGGAAGCTCTTTGACTGGTTCCAACTACATCCCTTTCAGTTACCGGTGAAGTCTAGCTGTTGCAACACGAAAACTCCCCTCTACTGTGGTGATGTCAAATTTATATCATCACTTCGCATTAGGAGTGCTGATCACACATCTACAGAAAACTTAGGATCAGAGGAATCTGCCCACAATCAAAAATGAATGTACAAAATAAAGCCTCTAATCCAGATACCTGAAGTGACAGGATCCCTCGGTAGAAAACCCTGTTGTTGTTGTTGTTGTTATGTGCCATCGAGTTGCTTGTGACTCATAGCGACCCTACGTACAACAGCCCTAAACCCTGCTCTGTCCTGTGCCAATTGCACTGAATCTGATACACCCATCCCAATTACCCCAGTCACTGAATCAATCCACCTCATAGAGGGCTATCCCTCCACCCTCCCAAGCATGATGTCCCTTCTTCAAGGACCAATCCCTCCTTACAACATGTCTAAAATATGTCAGTTCTTAGGGAAGCCAACATGTTCTGCCTCCTTTTAGAGATGAAGACACTGAGGTTCAGAGTGGACAGCTGGGTAAGTTTTCCTGGAGCATTACTGCAATGACCATATATTGCCTGCCTCACAGTCCTGGCCTTTTTCTTCAGAAACTCTTCTCATCCCATTCTCTCACCAACACTCCCTCCCATGCTTGGCAAGCAGCAAGCTACAGGCAGGCAAACAGTGGTCTCCCGGGGTAGGACCCTCTGCAAAGTCCAAACATGCTGTATGTAAAGGGCTTACAGGCAGCTGGCCCTTACTTCGGATAGACTCTGGTTCTGGGGAGCTGGAAGGCGGGACCGTCAGAGACTGGGAGCTGTTCTTTTTCTCCCCGCTCCCTGAACCAGCTGCTGACGGGACAGTCTGGGGTTCTGGACTCTCAGCACACACGGTAAGTTTCACAGTGGTGTTTGCTGTCTTCAGAAGACCAATGAACTGGCAAGTTTGTGTCGTAGGGGGAAAGGAAAATTCAAAAGCAAAATTAGTAGATACACACATGAAAGTATTAACTCTAGCTATAATCTAAGATTGACAGAAAGCAAAACAATACCAATTTGGGGGACAGAATTTGAAGGATCAAGACAAGAATTGTTCTCTAGTTTCCTCTGACTGGGGCATGTACATTAAGGCAATTTTTAATTGTACCTTAACTCTAGTTCTAACCAGATTCTTCCTTATGTGAGTTGTGGTGGTTGTTGTTATGTGCCGTCGAGTCGTTTGCGACTCATAGTGACCCTATGTACAACAGCCCTAAACCCTGCTCTATCCTGTGCCAGTCACACTGCCTCTGACACACCCATCCTGATTACCCCAGTCACTGAATCAATCCACCTCATAGAGGGTCTTCCCCTCCTGCGCTGTCCCTCTACCCTACCAAGCATGATGTCCCTCTCCAAGGACCTGCCTCTCCTTACAACATGTGTATACATTTTTCATCATTTCATACCACAGTCTTCAAGTTCATTCTGACTCACAGTAATCTTATGTGAAAGAACAGAACTGCTCCATCGTTTCCAAGGCTGTAAATCTTTACAGAAGCCAACCAGCCTTTGCTCTTGTAGAATAGCTGGTAGATTTGAACTGCCAACCTTTCCCTCAGCAACCTAAAGTTTAATCCTCTACGGTTCCTTCACTGTTTTTGTTTTTCTTTATTAATTTTATTGAAAGTTTAGAGAGACTTGAGTTTTCCAGTCATTCATTGTTGTACGTCTCTCCCTGCCCACCCCCTTCCCTCCAATTCACTCTTCTCCTTGTTTTATAGTTCTAATTTAAGTGTGTAACTTTTCTACAGCCTTAGAAGATAACTAGGGTATTTTACCCACTTTCTTATTCCTTAGGGGAAGCTGAAGCAGTGTATAAAAACATTTTCAGTAAAATGGAAATGCACGTGCTAAGGGCACTACCCATCAGAAGAACCAAGCTGAGTGGAATGTAATACATGATAGATGGAAGAAAGAATCTTACATAAATGTTACTGAAATAGAATAAGAAACTGACAGTTAGCTTCTGGCTGCCCCAAAAGAAATGGAAACACAAGTCAGTACTTCACGCCCTTTAACAAAAGGAAGGAAAGCAAATTCAATTTCAGGAGACAATGCTTTTTCTGGAAATTAACAGGAAAGGCCTCACAAGATATTTTTAAGTATTATGGTCACCTCAAGGGGAAAGGGAATATAGGTTCTAAACACTGCTAAATCCCATAAAAATCAATATTTAATAATGTGCCTGTAAAGCATTGCTCTTAGTATAAAGACCTGTTTAACTTCAGTTTAAGTTGTGCATTTAAAGATCTTAGAATATTTGTAAAGCATTATACATAGTAGATATTTATGGGAGACATAATGATTTTAAAAAACCAGCTCTTTGGTGTTTATGCAAGATTTTGTTTTGCAGTGTCAAGTTTTTCTGAGGAAAAGTGAAAATGGTATTTATAAAATATGCTTCCTAATAAAGGAATAATTCATCAAGTAATGGGAAAAAAGGCCTTAATGTCACTTTGGTTGTAAAAAATGATCTAGAGATTGAAAGGCCACGGAATCATTTCTTCTTTTCCGTAGGCTACATGTCTAATAGTTTACACAGCTCTATTAGACTCCCCATGCCCATAACATGGCCTACACACATCCTAACCAGGTCCAGGTAAGTGCTTAAAGGACCAATGGCTGTCTGAAACCAGTACCTTTTCAACAGGATACCCAACAACAACTTCATCATCAACAGCCAAAATCTGGTCTCCAACTTTGAGGCGTCCATCCTAAATGGAAGCATGGATGATTTCGAGTGATTTTCCAGTAGAAATTCCCTTTTCTACCACCCTGTGATGGTGAGAATGAAGAGCCTCACCTTGGCTGCTACCCCGTGCTCGGTTAGACTCTTAATGACGACTCCGTTAAGTGTGTCTTCTTCACTGATAGCAATGCCCAGACCCCCTTGATCCTAGAGAAGCAGAGAAAAGAGCTCTCAGGAATGTCAAGTCTCTCATTTCTATTTAGAACTCAGAAGTTATAAATGTCATTTTTCACCAAAGGGTTTGAAAGCCAATGATCATTTGTCTAAAGACCCTACGCAGAAAGTTCTTCTAATAGGAATCTTCCACCATGTAGTCGAGGAGTGTAACCTTTCCTCTATATCTGACATCTTTCCTGACTAAAACCGATTACAAAGATGCATTCAATAATTTAGTCAACAATATGTAACATCTGTAGACAATCTAGTCCTGTGTATCTAGCAGACACAACTAAACCTGAGCTAAATATTTTGCCTCTTGTCCTTCTGATAAGTAGCTCAGCAATAACGACAACACCCGACTATTTTTATCCCATGTTCTTTGTGCAGAGAGCTCACAATTACTGATGTGTGTTGGTCCTTCCTGGGGATGAATGCTCCGAGTAGTTTTTGGAGAGATTCACAATTCTATTGACAGAGTGAACATGCTCTCAACTCTGAGAAGACCTTCAATGAAACCTTTAGCTGGAAAAGGTTTACTTAGATGACTTTGTCTATGTTTTCCACTTTTTTCAATAGCCAAATATTCTACAACATTGACCTTGACTTCTCTGATAGAGACAGGCCAGTTTACTGATACACTGATTTCTCAAAGATCTCTCAGGATGTATTCCAAGGGGTTTATGACAGCTCGTTCAGGCTTCTGTGTACCCTCATTGCTGGGTGTCAGGTGAAATGCTTGCATCAATATCTCTAATAACAGAATTTCAGAGACGGTTCTGATTAGGGGCTTGAGATGACACACAGGTATAACCTGGATTGGTAAAGTCATACTTCTAGATGACTGCTATTTGTTCAATGCTCTAGAATTTGTCCTCACTTTGAAATGATTGAACCAACCCAACTCACAAGAAATTCTTTATTCCAAGCACTTTCATTTGCTGTATGTGCAGTATTTAAATCATTAGGTTTCATATTTTTCTTGCACTAAAGTAAGGCCGTATGTACCTGTTTCGACTCAGATCTATAGACTTTTCTATAGATGAAAGACACAATGAGGCTCAGATTTTGTTTGCAACCTGGGGTTGCCTGTAGTCCTTTAAGACATTAGTTAATATCTTTTAGCTCTGAACTTCAGTGCAGATCTTTTAAAAAACAATCATTAGTGAGCATGTCCAGTTATACGAGTTTTCAGTTGTGTGTGAAAGGATGACTATGTATTTATTTCTTTTTCTTTTCTTTCCTTCAGTGAGGTCCCTTGGTAAACAAGCAAAGAGCAGAGAGGGTTTCCTGTTGAACTTTCCCTAGTAAATCTGAGCCCCTGTTACATACCAGTTAGGCGAGAAGTCCTCATACTTGACACACATCACAATCACCTTATTCGACTACCAAATACTCAGCTCACCCCACATTTCTCGTGCAGGACGTCTGGATTGGCCTGGGCACATCCATTTCAAACTAGTTCACAGGCAATGCTGACGGGGCCACACTTGATAAGCACTGGGTGAGGACACTGGGGGAGTGAGGGAAGGCGTCATTCTCATTTGCAGCAGATTTACCTTGGGAAGCTCCAGGTGTTGCACGTTTGTAAATGAACTGAGGTCGCCTGCCAGGTCCGCTGTAGCAGCACTTAAGTCAGCCTGATAGAGGGAGAAGAGACATGGCCAAGAGGGCAAGTGAGCACCATGCAA